CAAGAGAGAAGAGAGGAGAGCTGGACCCTACCCAGAGAAGCAGTGATGCCTGAGATAGAGGCAGAGACGATGACGTAGAGAGATGGAGCAGCTGGGGACTTTAGACTCAGAGAGGGAAAGGGGCTGTGTGCTGACGACCGGGGGGTTGGGCAGGGGGGGCAGGCTTGATGATGCATGGAGGGGATTGTAACTATGACAATGAAACAATATACAATAGGATGAATGTAAAACTAATGTTCTCCCATGTAAACTATCACATAATTCACAATAAAACATTTTTTTAAAAAAGCAAAGATGCCGCACTGAGGACATGATATTTCAATCGTCTCATACACATGTGGAAGCTGGATAATGAATAAGGAAACTTGAAAAATAATTGATGTCTTTGGATTATGGTGTTGGTGAAGAAAAACACCACGGATGGCCAGAAGATCAAACAAATCTGTTTTGGAAGAAGTAAGCCAGACAGTTCCTTAGAGGAGAGGATGGCAAAACCTTGTCTCACGTATTCTGGACATGTTATCAGGAGGTCCCACTTCCTGGAGAAGAACGTCATGTTTGGTAAAGTAGACGCTTAGTGAAAAAAGAGGGAGGGCCTCAATGAGATACTGTGGTTGCAACAATGGACTCAAACATAGCAATAACTTTAAGGACAGCACAGGACAGGGCAGTGATTTTCTTCATTGTCCATAGTGACTATGAGCTATCATTGACTCAAAGGCACCTAACACAACAATCTTTACTGCAGCAGATATTTCCTCCCACGGAGCCGCTGGTGGGTTGGAACTGCCAACATCCTGTGCTTAACCATTGAGCCACCACACCAAATCCATTGCCATTGAATTGATTCTAAATCACAGTGACCACATAAGACAGAGTAGAATTTCTTGACTGTAATCTTTACAAGGTCTTTTCGATCTAAAGCTGGTAGGCTCAAACCACTGACTTTTTGGTTGGTTGACTGGTTATGTGCCGTGGAGTCGGTTCTGACTCATAGTGACCCTGCACAGGGTTTCCGAGGCTATAAATCTTTACGGGAGCAGAAAGCCACATCTTTCTCCCACGGAACAGCTGGTAGTTTCGAACTGCTGACCTTGAGGTTCACAGTCCAATTCGTAACCACTATGCTACCAGAGCTCCTTGAACTTTTGGTTAGCAGCTGTGTATTTAACCATCATACTTGGGGCACTGCTAATATAGGGAATGGCAGGAACAAAGCCCTGAGAAGAAATTGAGGCAGGATTCCTGTCATCATCCAACAGCAACTAGAAAATATTTGTCGAATGGACTCATGACTTCCCCCTGGCAAATTGACATTTGCCTGGCATTTGCTGTGTACCCCACAACACACATTACATTCTGCAGCCCCCAGCTTTGCCTTTCTGCTTTTTCTTTATGTCCACACCACACTATGAGCTCCTGAGGACTCTGCAGTCCAAACCTAGCACAGAACTAGTCCGTGTCAGGTGCAACTAAGTAGGGTTGGGTCAAAGTACAGAGATCAAAACCCCGACCTTCTCACTTCCCAGTCTGACAACATGCCAACTGTGTGATTCTTGCTGTTTGGTGACCAGCGTGGACTCACTTGCCAATCCCAATCTTCTTCTTCTTCTATTTTTTTAACAGGGAATAACATGTGGTGTTCTTAGAGGAACAAAGATCAAGCCGGGTTCCTTGGGGAAGGCCATCTCACCCTTTGATGTTCAGGTTTGGTCCAATGGTGCTGACAGAGAATGGCTAGGGTTTGTCTGAGGTTGGACCATGTACAGCACCAAATGTCATTAGTCAGCCAGCTTCCCTGCCCCACTTGTCCTTCCTCTCCCTATGTTTCATTCAGTCTCCTGTGGAGGCTGCCACTGAGAACTGCAGTGTTGTGGGCACTAGTGTGGCTTGTCCTGGCAGCTAGAGGCATCACAAACAGTGAACAGAAACAGAGCCCCTGGAGACAGTGCTGGGAATTCTTTCCACCAGCTGGTGACTTAAGTTTTCCTTACACAATGTTCTCTAACAGTAAGAAATGCTTCAATGTCTATGTGTCCATATTTGATGCCAAGAAGTGGGCAATGTTTCATTCTGTTATACATAAGGTTGCTCAGCTTGACGATAACAACATGCCCATGAACTAAATAGACTCATGACTTGGGTTTTACAATTTACTGGTTTCAAGACTTTTGACCATTTGGTTGTATTTTCAATGGGGCTCCTCCACCACTACCCACTCCCATTAGCCCTGAGGAAGTCACATGACTGAGCCAAGCATTGCTTGGGTGGGTCAGGAGTGTTGAGGGAGACCTGTAGGGTGGGCTTCACAGACCTCTGGTTCCAGATCATTGACGACAAGGGCAATATCCTGCCTCCCAACACTGAAGGAAATATTGGCGTCAGGATCAAGCCCACCAGACCCACTGGCCTCTTCATGTGCTATGAGGTAAGGACATGCCATCTGCTCCTACTCTGGCTTCTGGAATCCCTGCAGGGAGGCATGAGTAAGAGACAGAGGTAACTCTGCATCCTGAAACTTCTTCAGAGCTTCCTCCATCACTCCAACTCAGTGGTGCCTGTTCAAATGGTCACCTCCTTCAACCTCAAAGTTCCTAGTGCCCTCCCATATCACTGTCTATACTGACCCATCTGTCACCAAAGGTCAATTGATGTGGTAGAAAGAAGATGTGGGCTCCAATGAGCTCCTGTAGTTAAGAATATAGGCTTTGTTTTGTTGTTGGTTTTAGGGTTTTTTTTAAAGTTTTTGTTGTGACTTGAGTGATAGTTTACAGGGCAAATCATCAGTTTTGCACTTAACCAATCATATTTTGTTTCATTGCAATGATTACAATCCTTCCCATGCACCACTGATTAACAGTATTTACCTCTATCCTCTGGTTGTTGCTGGTTTTTGGTATACACAAAACACACAGAAAATATATATTCATTTAAATGACAAAGGCTACATTTTGCAAGCCAGCCTCCTGCCCGCTGGCACACAGCCTTCCTCATTCCATGGGTCTAGAGTCCTCAGCTGCTCTGTCTCTCTATGCCACCACTTCTACTTAACTCTGGTGTTATTGGTTCTCTGGGTAGGATCCCACGCTCTGCTCATACTCTTCATCTTGATGGTTCTAGGGTCCTCCTCCCATTTCAGATAAGCTGGCCACTTCACTCTCAGCTCTAGCTCCCAGTGGCTAGGTCAGTGTCCATGGGCTCAGGAGTTCCCAAATCTCCCCAAACTTCACACTGATCAGCCCCTCCTCTTTTCTCTCTCATCTCAAGGCATCTCAAAGTCGATGAGAGTCTATGGAACATGGTCGAACTCAGTCCCTGTCTTCATTGCTGCCTGCCCCCCACTTCCACTCACAAGTAGATCAAGACGGTCACCATGAGCTTATAAGCCTGCCCACGTGTCCTTTTGAGGTTTAGTCTTGGAGAGGGGTTTATCCCGATGGGCTGACTTTTCTTGCCTTGATGGTTCCTAGGCAAACAGCTTACTTAGAATATAGGCTTTGACATCAAACATGTAGGGTTCATAAACTAGCCATCCCTCTTAACAGTGACAGGGTGTAAGCAAATCCCTTATCCTCAGTGAGCCTCTTGTTGTTGTTGTTAAGTTCTGTCGAGTTGTTTCCCTCCCATAGTGACCCTGTATAGGGTTTCCAAGGAGCAGCTGGTAAGTTTGAACCACCAAGCTTGTGGCTTAAACAACTCTGCAGATCAGCGCATTAGCCCACAGCGCTACACTGTTACATCCGTTTTACACAGGCTTCGTTTTTGGTGTTGCTCTAACCAAAATAGCCCAAGTTTGTGACTTGAACATGCACCATTTAGACCATCACTCATCTATCAGTCTGTCATACTGTGGTGGCTGGTGGGCTACTGCGACGCTGGAAGCTATGCCACAGGTATTTTAAATAAGTGTCACCCAGCTTTCAGGTTTCAGTGGAGCTTCCAGACTAAGACAGACTAGGAAGAAGTACACTTCTGAATGGTAACCACTGAAAACCTAATGACCAGCAGCAGGTAGTTACTTTACTGTGGTGGTCTGGAACCCAGCCTGCAATACAGACGAGGTATGCCTAGAATCTAGTTGCCCTGCCTCTGTGTTATTTCTTACAACTGCATGTAAATCTACAATTTTCTCAAAATACAAGGCTTAATTATAAAAATATTCACCAAATACACAAAAATTCCAGGATCAAACAAGTCTGTATGTTGATAAGAAAATTCGCTCAGTGTATGTTGTTGTTGTTAAGTGTCAGTGAGTCAGTTCAGACTCATAATGACTCTGTATAGGGTTTCTGAGGTTTTACATCTTCACAGGAACAAAAAGTCTCATCTTTGTCCCATGGAGTGGCTGCTAGGGTCAAACACCAGCCATGTGGTTCCCAGGCAGAGGCTTCCTGTACAGAACTACCGTGCTCCCTTCTCTGTTTGAGGGAGCTTCAAAAGTTCACAAAAAAACAGAGTTAAAAGATAATGAAGTTTTTCAATGAACTTTTTAAAGCCTCCTCATATGTGCTTTTTTTTTTTTTAAGTGTTGTCAAGTCGATTCTGACCCATAGCAACCCTGTATAAGGTTTCCAAGGAGCAGCTGGTGAGCTTGAACCGCCAACCTTGTGGTTCAGAGCAACTTTGCGGTCCACACATTAACCCACAGTGCCCAACCAGGATTCCCATATGTTCATTAAGACCACCCATGTACCAGGGGCTGTGTGAGCTCTGAGCTTATAGCAGCAAATAAGAGAAACACACTTGCTGTGTTCATGAAAATTTTATTTTGGTGGAATGACACACCAAAATGAGTTTTTTAAATTGTCATTAATATCTGTTGATTGGAGTTCTGGTGTGCAGCTGTAGGTCGCTTTGAATTGCAAGTTCAGCAGTTCAAACTTACCAGTCACTCCTTGGAAATCCCATACAGGGTTGCTATGAGTCTAAACAGACTCAACGGCACTTCACAACAATGCTGATTGCCCCAAGAGCTCACATGTAATAAGTGTAGACTCAGCAAGATTAAAAACTTGCTCTAGCCACTGATGATGTCAGACAGCACCAGAACCCAGACCTGACTCCGGGTTATTCTCACCATCTCTAAACCCACCGCCTTCAACAGAGGGGTGCGTTTCTCTTTGCAGAAAGACCCAGAAAAGACAGCTCAAGTGGAATGTGGGGACTTTTACAATACCGGGGACAGAGCAGCTATTGATGAAGAGGGTTACATCTGGTTCCTGGGGAGAAGCGATGATGTCATCAATGCCTCTGGGTAGGTGTGGCTGACCCTTGGCCAGTAGCTGTCACCCCTTATGACTAATGGGATATGGCTTGCCAGGTCACTCCTCCATGTATTGGTGAGGGAAGCTTCAGTCTAATTCCAAATAGAACCATGTCTACGGACCCTGGCCCAAGGTGTATCTGTTTGTGTACACGCGCGCATGCACATACACACACACACACCAAAGCTTGTGTCCCCAAGAATCAATCAAAATGAAGTTCAAGTGGGTCTGGAAGATGTAAATGACATCATGCAATATAAGGGGGCGTTGAAATTGGGAAAGAGACTTTTCTCTGGTCCCCATAAATTAAGGGAGCTTATTTTATGTGTGAGCTCTTCATGTGGGGCCAAGATGTCACAGTAGAAACACAATGAGAATAGTTGACGTTTATGAAGTACTTAAGGAGCTCTGGCAGTGTAGTGGTTACAAATTGAGCTGCTAACCTCAGGATCGGCAGTTTGAAACTACCAGCTGCTCCGCGAGAGAAAGATGAGGCTTTCTGCTCCCATGAAGATTTACAGCCTCGGAAACCCTGTGCAGGGTCGCTATGGGTCGGAACCGACTCCACGGCACCTAACAACAACAACTTGAAGTACTTAGGATGCAAAAGCACTCTCCCAAATGCTCTGCAATTAGTAACTCATCTAACCGACCCACGATGCTATGTGGCTGTGTTGTTATCTGCCATTGAGTAGGCCTCCTGGTGACCCCACATGGAACTGCTCCATGGGGTTTTCTTGGTAGACCGCCATGCCTTTCTTTCTGGAATCCAATTGAGTTTGAAATGCCAACCTTTGGGTTAGCTGCCAATCACAAAGTTCCGACACTCCCCCGGCTCCTTCAATGGTATAAGACAGATGCTATTTTATCCCCATTTTAGGATGAGGAAACTGAGTCACAGAATAGTGAAGACGGTTGTTGTAAGTCTAAAAGACATCACATGGTGGAGCCCACCTTTTAACTGAGGTCATCTGGCTCTGAGGCCACGGCCCTAAATACCCCCCAAAAAGAAAAGACACCTTATCCTAGAGCAACAAATCTGGGATATTTCAGGAAATTGAGGTGATTTTGTTTTGCTTTATAATGTTTAAAGTTAACACTGCAGTCCTGGTGTGGTGCTGTGGGTTAATGTGCTGGGCTGCAAAATCCGTTTGAACCCCAACATTGCTGGTTCAGGTTCACAGCCATTCTTCGGAAACCCTGTGCAGGGTCGCTATGGGTCAGAACCTATTCGATGGCACTTAACAACAACAAAGTAAATACTTATATATTGGGAAATAATATGCAAAATATAAAAGAATAATTAAAGTAAAATGTGAGGCTTTTAAGTAATTTTACAATGAGAGAAGCCGCTTGATCCAAGGAACCAGAGCTTTGGGAGACCATGCATCTACCCTCCGTCATCGGGGTCCTCAGAGCCCTGGATGCACCTGAGCCTGCGAGTTTCTTAGAGTGTCCACGACCTGCGCAGGTCACAAGATCAGGCTTCCTAGGTCAGTTACCCTCTGTAGTAAGGGAAGACATGGCCCTTCAAAGCCGGTATTTAGGCAAAGGGTCTCTCCAATCCTGGCATTTGCCTCGAACTTATGAAGGAAGTTGATCTTGCAGGTACCGTATCGGTCCAGCAGAAGTGGAGAATGCCCTGGCGGAGCACCCAGCGGTGGCTGAGTCAGCCGTGGTGGGCAGTCCGGATCCCATTCGAGGGGAGGTGAGTAGCGGACACGACATGATGAGATCTGCCTGTGGGCACTGGGGAGCAGAAAACTTCAAGACACTCTCCCGCCAGCCTTAGTTCTGTGGGACAGAGAGCAGACCTGGTGTGCGCACTCACAGCAGGTGGCACTGTGGCCTTGCTGCGGCACCATAAATAATGAGTATTACTGACAATAACTAACGTCTAAAGAGCACTTACTATATCCCAATCATCTGACCCTCACAACAACCCGATAAATCGAGAACTCCTTTTATATATAAGGAGCAGTCCCTAGGTGACACAAGCAGTTGACTACTAACTGAAAGATTGGCAGTTTGAATCTAGCCAGACACTGCAGAAGAAAGTCCTAGTGATCTGCTTCCATGAAGACTGTTGTGTTGTTAAGTGCCATCGAGTCGATTCTGACCCATAGCAACCCTGTATAGGGTTTCCGAGGAGCAGCTGGTGAGCTTGAACCACCGACCTTGCAGTTCAAACAGCTTTGCAGTCTGGTGCATTAACCCACAGTGCTCCACCAGGACTCCTACTTATTGAACAGCAAATAGTGAGGTTGGCCCAGGATTGGGCAGTGTTTCGTTCTGCTATACATAGGGTCGCTATGAGTCGGTACCAATTCGATGGCACCTAACAACAACAACAACAACAACTCTGTAGCACATAGGGTTACCATGAGTCCGAATTGAATGGGTTTGGTTTGGTTTGCATTGACGAGAATATCTGAATCAAGAAGTCACTTGCCTGAATCACACAATGGTAATCTATGTAACTTAGTTTCACAGATGTATTCCTTGATTCAAAAGGATGGATTGCAACCTAGCGCCAGTTGTTGGTCAGTTTGACATACTGTAGTGGCTTATGGTGCCGCGATGCTGGAAGCTACACCACGGGGTGTTTTTAAACACCAGTAGGGTCATGCATGGTGGACAGGTTTCAACAGAACTTCCAGACAAAGACAAACTAGGAAGAAGGAGAGGTGGGCCACTTCTGAATGGTTAGCCACTGAAAAGCTTAAGGATAGCAATGGAACATTGTCTGAGATGAGTCCTTCATGTTGACAGACACTCAAAATTTGACTAGGGAAGATCTGCCTCCTCACGTTAAAGTTGACCCGAATGACATGGATGGAATAAAGCTTCCAAGACTTTCATTTGCTGATGAGGCACAACTCAAAACGAGAAGAAACAACTGCAAGCATTCATTAATAATCACAACATGGAATATTCAAAGTATGAATCTAGGAAAATTGGAAGTTGTCAAAAATGAAATAGAATGTACAAAGATTGATATCCTAGTGATATCAATCAGACATTAGTGAGCTGAAATGGACTGGTATCAGCCATTCTAATTGAGACTCATATGGTTTACTATGCCAGGAACAACAAATTTAAAAGGATTGGTGTTACATTCATAGTCAAAAGAGCATTTCAATATCTGTATCTGTTTGTAATAGGATAATATCCATATGCCTACAAGGAAGACCAGCTAATGCCGCTATTATTCAAATATACAAACCAGCCACTAAAGCCAGTGATGATGAAATTGATGAATTTTACCAACTTGTTCAGTTTGAAATTGATCAAACATGAAATCAAATGTATTGATAATTACTGGAGATTGGAAAGAGAAAGTTGGAAATAAAGAGGAAAGAAAATATGGCCTTGGTGATAGAAATGATGTTGGAGATTGTATGACAGAATTTTGCAAGACCAATGACTTCGTCATTGCAAATACCTTTTAAACAACATAAAAGACAACTGACTATGTATACACATGGACCTTAATAGATGTAATACACAGAAATCAAATTGATTACATCTTTGAGAAGAAATGGTGGAAAAGCTCCATGTCATTAGCCCAAACAAAATCAGGGGAGGCTGTGGAACTGACCATCAAGTGCTCATCTATAAGTTTAGACAGAAGCTGAAGAAAATTAAAACAAGTCCACAAGAGCCAAAATATGACCCTGAGTATATTCTACCTGAATTTAGAGATTATCTCCAGAGCAGATCTGAGGTATTAGACTTGACCAAAGACCAGAAGAGTTGTGGTATCAAGACTACCCTATATGTAGAAAGCATAACGTCAAAAGACAGGAGAGAAAGAAAAATCAAAGTGGATTTCAGGAGAGACTCAAACTTGCCCCTGAACATAAAGAAGTTATAGTGAAAAGAAGAAATGACTAAGAAAAAGAATTGAACAGAAAAATTCCAAAGGGCGGTTCAAGAATACAAAGTATAGACAAAGTATAAAGCAATGTGCAAAGAGCTGGAGTAAGAAAACCAAAAGGGAAGAACACATTCAAGCTGAAAGAAGTGAAGGAAAAATCCAAGCCTCTAGCTGCAATATTGAAGAATCCCATGGGTAAAATATTAAATAATGAAGGAAACCCAGCATCAATAGAAAAGAGAAGGAATAAATCAAACTATGTATTGCATTAGGCAAATCTGCTGCACAAGACCTTTTTCAAGTGTTGAAGAGCAAAGATGTCAGCTTGAGGACTAAGGTGCACCTGACCCAAGCCATGGTATTTTCAATAACCTCATATGCACACGAAAGCTGG